AATTTTACATCAAGTCTTACAATATCAAGTCTCACAAATACAAATTTATTGTGAATCTTTTTAAACTTTTCTTAACAGCTTAATTTTGAGTTTTTAAAATGCCTTTTTGCAATACTAGAAAAAAAAATCTTTCACTTGGCAGTTAGTATTGTGTTTTGAGAAAGATTTGTCGTCGAAAAAAATCAAAGTCTTGATATTAAATCAATTTTTATGGAATGATTTAATGACATTTAAGTAATACAAGCCTATTCTTTAAATGCACCATCATAAATGATATTTATAAGCGCACGTAAATTTTTTTGAAAAAAAAATCATTTAATTGGCAAAATTGGTCTGAACGTTTTTCACGAATTTCTATTCAGTCTCAAGAGCGAACCAAAAAAACGCCAAAATAATGAAATTTAGTAAAATTGATTTTAAATAAGATTTTTAGCAAAAAATTTCCAAGTTTTTTATCCATACAATTCCCAGATAATTCCATAGAGAAGGAAAAGTTTTTTTGAATTTCTTATCAATAATACTTATAGTTTTGTAAAAAAAAATTTAAAAGTTAAGATACAGATTACTTGATGACTTCGCCAAAAAATTAAGTTTTGGCTGAAACTTATAATAGGGCAAGTTTTTATAAATTTAGATCTTAATTTAATAATCCCTTGCCCAAGACGAGTGCAAAAACGCATAAAAAACAAAGTCTGAGAAACTTTTGAAAAAAATGTTGTAGATTGACCATTAAAAAAAAGTGCAGCTTCTGGAAAAAACTTGTTGAAAGAAAACACTCTTTTGTGATTAAAAAACTACAGTACAAATTTTTGGTTCATCATAATTTTTTCACTATATAAGTTGGATAGTGATACAAGCCAATATAACTACAGTTAAGGTTCATTGAAGTTGTGATTTTAAGTTTTCAAGCATCGAATGGAAAAGCAAAATCCTTGTTAGTGCCGTTTTCTCTGTAACCACTAGATGGTCACGTTTGAAATTTTGATATATGATTGATTAAATTGTCTTTTAAAATATACGTGAATAAAAAATGTAAGAAACTGTTTTAAGGACCTCTTTTGGTCATTACTCAGAAGGGTGCTCTTAGATTGCCAAAAAAGTTCCCGTAAAAGCTAAAGCAGTTCAAAATTATGAATTTAAAATTATTCATTCAAAAGCTAAGTAATAAAGCTAAGGCCTAATAAAAACTTGCAAACTTAGATAGGAAAAAAACACTACTTAGCTACGAAATAAATTTTTGCTCAGATTTTAGCAATTTACTACGCAAATTGCTGAGTTTTTAGTCCACATCTCTCTGAAAGCTCAACAAAATTATTAGTTCTTTTTCATGTGAAAGAAAGGTACTAGCTCATGTCCTTAGTTTTCGAACAAAAATTTTCAAGTCCAATGTTTAGAACTGCTTCTGCTGTTACGTGGATGTTTCAGCAAAAAAAGCCTCCTCTGAGACCCTATGATTTAACAACCAAACTAGATCTTTAAACCATCTTTTTACTGTTTTGCAGCCGGCTATAATCTGCAGACCAATTTCAGTCATCAATTTTTTTTAGTTTCAAACGTGAACTTCCAGTAGTTGTAGAGAAAACGCCAATAACGTAAAAAAAACTTCGCTCATTTCATTGCTTGAAAATTTAAATTTGCAACTTTTATGTCTTGTAACTACATCAAAAATAGCCGTTTGTAGCGCGTAAAGTTCAAACCCATGCAATTTGAAAAAGTAATGGCGAAGAATTGATCTTTTTTAAAATTGATCTCAGGACAACGGTATCCTTCAGATGGCGTAAAAATTGAGTCAAAAACGTTTTTTCAAAATATCAAAATTTTACCGGATGAGAAACTATCCTAAGCATTAATTTTTTGTCAATTTTTGATAGTTTCAATAGAATTATTTATATTAGGAAGGATAAACGGTTGCTCTTTCTTGTTTTTTTTTGTTGTTTTATGAAACATTTTTCACAAAAAACAATATTTTGAAGTTATTTTCGATAATAATTCCAATATGAGTTTACTGTGCACTGATTTTTTAATTAATTGTTGAAAATTTAAAATAAAAAAAATTGAAGAAGTTTTTCAGATAAATTTTTGTAATTTTGTGACAATATATTTTGTTTTTTTTTTTCAAAATATTTTTGAGGAAGGTGCTAAGAAAAATTTTGAAATGTATTTTTTAAATTAAAACTTATCAAAATAAGATTTAAATTGTTGAGCTAACTTTAACTTGAAATACGAGTAAAAAAAATTAAAACGTAACATACCGCCTGCTCTCTCGAAATTAGACCAAAACTCAAAAATTTGGAACAAGGAATTTCTCAACACCGGAAAAATGCTTTGAAAATTTCTAAAGATTTTTCGAGTCTTCACTAAAAAGTTTTTATTATGATATATCAATTGACCCTATTCAATAACAATTTTTGTTATCCGATTCAAGGAAGAAAACAAAAAAAAAACTAAATTACACTCCGAAGACGAAGTTTCTCCCAGTTTTCAAATTATCGGAACATAAACACATTTGTGAAAAATTGTTTTTTGTTTGTAAAATGATCAATTGTGTATGGAGTTGCATGAAAATAATTTTCGTTTTATGGATTTTCAATCTATGGATTTCAGCTCTATGAAATTTACCGCATTTTAGATGATTTTTGTCTTGCGCCTTAGAATTGCTTAAAAAATTGGCAAACAATTTGTTCACATTCTCAGTCCCTTTGTTTTTTTTTAGTTCTTCGAAATACTACTTAGTTAAGTACGAGTAAGAAATACTGGGTAAAACTTCTTTTGATATCGTCTATAGAAATTTTTTACTGCCTTAAACTTCTGCAAATTCTGCAAAACTTTAATCAAAATATTGTAAAAGCTATTTTGATAATGTCAAGAACTGATTTTACTTCCGCAAAGTTCTGCAAAATATTAATCAAAAAAGGGTAAAAATTATTTTAACTAGCTAATTATTCAGAAAAAAAAATGATGTTGTCAAATCAAAATTTTTAATTATTTAGTTTTTTTTCCAAAGAAGAGGGGAGTGTTAATATTTCGTTTAGTATTCTTCTTCAAGTGGAAATCGGTGATTGAATTAGTTTTTTGAGGAATTTCAAAGCTTGCATCAAGTTTTTGAGTTATGGACAGATATATGACCAGAACAAGACTTCTCGTATATCAGGGGAAGCCCTGAATGTTCCGACTGTCCTTTGAATTATAACAAATAGTTTTTGGGAAAAGAAAATATTGAAAACCTATACATTTTGGACAATGTCAATGTATAAAATTTCGAGTCGTACCAAATTAATACGACCAATTAGCTAGCCTTAATTCAATTTGGAACGACTTTGTTGTGCGGGATATTTCGTCACGCATAAATAATTAGCGTTACACTCTCAGCGTTATGAATAAACTCTTGAAAGCGCGCATAATTTAATCCAGAACATGGCAAATTTGGCAATTTTCAAAACACCAGAACTTTACAAAAAATTATTGGAGGTGAAATATTTTTTTATATTTGAGCTCAAGAAGTCAATTTCTTTGATGAAGTATAAAAAATTTTTGTTCAAAATCATTATTTTGATCGGTGAAAGTCGCGGAATAAAAAAAACCACACCGAGCAAAAATATTCCGTTATCATTATCTGGCCAACGATGTTTCATATTAGAAAACCCATGAAATCAAAAAGAAAGACCCAGATCAGATATTTATTTTTAATCTTGCAGCTCAGGGCAATGGTTTGTTCAGAGTTTGTAAAAAATTTCAGACTTAAAAAAATTAACGGTTGGAAAGTCGAGTTTAGTCGGAAGAAAAAAAAACAAACGAGCACAATTTTTCTAACATTTTATTTGAGAACCGGACCAAAACGGCAAGCCACGAGCTCAATGGCACGCATGAGACTCCAATAGTGGGGGTTATTTTAACTATAAAAGGATATATAAGAGGGCTAAAAGAAACGACAATTCTGTATTTTTCCAAGAAAAATGCTTTCACCGGAACTGACTTTGGCTTGACTTATCACTGATTCAACAGCCAAAGAATGGAGTGAAGACCCAATTCAATTATATCTTTGTCCAGCGTTGTTGTTTTCCGAGTAGGGTTGTTTTCGTTGATTTATGTCCCGTAATTATAAGGACCCGATTATATATTTTGCCACCAAATATTCTTTTTATTTTAAGCAAAATAACAGGTTTTTTCCCAAAACGCGCATACAAACCAAAAATCTATACCGTATAGTTGGATATACAAGGTAGTTAAAAAATGATGTTCAAACGGAAAAGTTTTCAAAAAGATCTTTGTTTGTTTTCCCAAATGTAATTTAGGCTCATTAAAAAATTCAAATCTTTTATAAACGTGTTTCGAATCATTATTTGCGTTTTTGTACCATTTGTACAAGTGTAGCAAAACTTCCTACTTCATACAAGGCAAGAGTGTGGTCAATAATGAGCTAGCATTTTTGAGTGGAATCTAAACCCAAGAAAAAGGCATCGTTGCCCTGAATTCCACGACAGAGCCTTCTTTTCTTTTGTTTTATTTTTTTAATGTTTGGAAGACTCCCTTCTGGCGACTTACGTTTCGGAGGCTCTCACCAGGCTCGGATCTAGAATTTTGGCCAGAGGTGAAAATTTTCAAAACTGCGTTTGATCTGTTTTGGGTCAATCAAATTCATTTGAAGCTTCTTAAATCACTAACTGACCCCATGATGCCAAATTGTTTTAGACTGCAGACTGCAGGTTTTTTTTTCAATCAAAAAATATCTGGATGGTTTTTTGGATGGTTTTAGAAAATTTTGAATGTGGTTTTGAAAAAACAATTGCTTTTTTTGGCTCCCTTTCCTCAGAATTTGCAAATATTAATGCCAAAGGCACCCTTATAGACTACACATTTTGGTTTTATTCGGCCAAAGTGGTGTCATGAAATAGTACCATAGTGATGTGGCTGATGAGAGATCGAGTCCTTGAGGGGGAGCGGGTTGAGTTTTGATATAATACTTGATCAGATCAAATTAGATAAATAACTTTTCAATCAGATGTATAAATAAATAGTATAAATTTATAGTAAAATAAGAGAATAACTTGGAAACATTCGTCGATGTCTTTGTTTTGCTTTTTTTTTCAAAGAAAGAAGCCGGAATTTCACACATCACAATACTACGCAACAACCGTTCGGGTCAGCCACATTTTTACGAGTGCTCCCCATGATGGCTGCCCTCTGGAACGTATCCTGGACGTTACTGCCCGTCTTGGCACTGCAGTCGCCCCAATGCTCGAAGAATTTCTTGGAGGCTACCTCTTCTGCCTGTTCCGGGGTCACGAGAGGGGGAGGGGGCTCGGTGGTGGTGCTGAAGTCAGACACTCCTGTCGCGGGGGAGGACATCGGGTCGTCCATGTCGCGCAGATCACTTTTGAGGCCTGAAAAACGTTGATTGTATTTATTTTCTATGTTCTAATCACTATCATATCACTTAGCCAGTTTGTCTATATATTCTTAAGAATCTCTGTAAAGAAATTAGTTCAGGGGCGGATTTACGGGTGGGGGGAGGGGGATGACGGGGCGGACGCTTTTTTTCCTTTCTCCTCAGGGATTCGACCCCCTGCCGACCCTTCGTACTACTATTTTGAAATATCCCTTTCTGGTGACGGACCCCAAAATTTTCTTGAAGGCGCGTTCGGCGCCAATATACTAATTTTGAGGGGGGAACGCGCGCCGAAAAATTCGATTTTTTGGTCAAAATTTTCCAAAAAGTGCCTAAAAACGCCTTTTTTGGCCTCTTTTTTTTTCAAAATCTTGCCTGCGGCGCAGACAATTTGGCCAAAATAGGGGCAAAACAGTACTTTGGGAGAGCTCGAAAAATCAATTTGGTCGACCTAAAAAAAAGGGTCGACAAAATTTTCGAAAATTTTTTGAAAATCCGCCCCCCCCCCCCCTCGAGAGAAATCCTAGATCCGCCCCTGAATTAGTTCATCTGTATTCAGTGAGACTTAACTCGTTTCGCATAATTTTTTGATTAATTTCTTGCCAAATTTTGGTAAAATTTTCAGATTGAAACATTATTAACTGGAAAAGCTCTCGATTTCATTTGAAGTAATCTCAATTTTTGTTTGAAGACATAATTAAGTCTTCATAAAATATATACTGTGAAGGTTTATCTAAAAGAAGGACCGACCGACTAGGAACTTGAGTGGCCTCTGTTGGTGCAAGTAGTAGTCTATCTCCTTCACCCATTTGGAGGACACGTCATTGAAGGTCTCCGGCCTACCGATGTCATAGCAGAACATGACTATCTCTGCTTCTTGATAAGACAAGGGACGGATCTAAAGGGAACATAGGTGTTTACTTTAAAAGATAACTGACTAAGCGCAAAAAATTTATTCTAGAAAAAGGTTGAATACAATCATGTCATATAGCAATTCAATGCTTCTGCCAATATTTTTTCGAAATCATGCCCCGAAAAGCACCAGCTCAAACCTTGATTGGTACTGACGTCAGAATTAAAAATCACGTTTAAAACTCCTCGTACTATAGCCATGTTTTGAATAAAACAAAAATAACGTCTCGGTTTCCTCAAAGACTTCTAAGATTTCGAACAAAGATTTCTCGAAACCGAGAACTTTTTTTTGATACAATCATGGCTAGAGCATGCGATTCAAACGTGATATTTGATCCTACTCGTCTCCGCGCTTTAGCTGGTAAATAAGTTCAAAAAAGCAATAACCGACCCTGTCGTAGTCTTCCTGTCCAGCTGTGTCGAACAGATGCAGATCCACAAGCTGTCCACTCTCAAGCACTGTCTCCCACACAAAATTCTCAAACACTAGTTAAACAAAAACTTATAAATTGTTTATTTTTATCACAATTTATTACAATATTCACTTATATATATAATAGTATTACATAATCTGAATTAGGCTTTATTATAACAAAAACCTGAAATGCAACCTGACAGAAAGAGAGCCCAATAAATAACAATGTTTCGGTTTTTCTATTCGAATCATCCGAAGTTATGGGGGTTTAACGATTGCAATTTTAACCGATTTGGGACAATTAACGCGATATATTTCGCATTATTCAAGCGTAAGCGCAGATTGAATCCATGTTAGAAATCGTTCCAAATAGGTTGAAAGAAGCTTATTGCCATAATTGATTTGTTAAGGGCCTAGGAAATTAGACGACAAGCAAATTAGACGACCGTAAAGAAACGCAATTTACGAACAACGAGTATTTACTCAGCCAAAATTTAATTCAAGTCTGTAAACAAAATTCACGTAACTTTTATGTTATTGTCTAAATTGGACAATCAGCTTTTACTCAGCTAACAGATATGTAAAGTCCGTAAACAAATTTCACGCAATTCGCGCAAGTTATTGTCTAATTTCCGTTATTTTCTGATCGTTTTATTTACTGTCGTCTAAATTCCTGAACCTCAATTTGTTACTAGGAGCAAAATCTATCACTTTTTACTTGTATGGCATCAGGGGGGATGATTTTTCCAAAAAAAAACTCAAATTTAAAAAAATTTCAATTTATTTTTTTATATTATATTTTTTCATGTTATTACTGCTCCATAGACCTTAAAAGGCAGTCGGAACTTTTAAGGATTCGCCGTGTTACGAGCAGTCTTGTCTGATTTGCGAATCTTTCATAACTGAACAATTGCTTGTATGTTTACTAGAATGGAGCGTTCATACATATTTGACAAATAATGCAACGTTTTTGGATCAAACCGCATCCTGAAACCATTTCACCCACCAAAATGATTAACTGTTAGGGCACCTAAAAAAAACTTACATTCGTAATAGAATAAGCATAGCCGGTTTCTCTGCAAGTAGCACACATTGTACCAACAACAAAATTTCATTAAAAAAATTTGCTAAGAAATCCATAAATTTTCAAGCAGTCTTTCGTTTTGATGATTTTTCTTAGAACTTATTTTTACTATGCGAAGGGAAAAACTTTAAAAAGTAAAATTAAAAACTTTTAAGTTGACTACTCTACAATCAACAGTTTGAAATTAAACTGGAAGGTCGTTTTTTCTCCGACTCTCTTCTTTGCAAAAAAGAGTCTGAAAACCCCATAAAACTAAAATTCATTGTTCTGGACTCTGGGACAAATTCAGTAAATGTAATCGGAGTCGAGCCAGCACTGCAACTTTTTCAAGTTGATACACATCTCGACCTTAAATATTTCAGACATATCAAAACTTTAAGCAAGAAGCCGCAAAGAAACGAGCAAAAAATGTTTTAACTTATACTTTTAATTTTTTGCAACTTTTATTTTACCTTAAGTTAATCAATTTTCTATCAACTTGTGTAAAAGGTATTTTGAACATTTTTGTTGATTTTTCATTTTTCATTTCAATGATATTTAACTTTTGCAATGGGCAGAAAAACTGCCGAATTCTGTTGGCACTTTTCCTTAAGTTGGATTCAATTTTGTTGACGCAATGTTTTGCGGTTTACATAGTTTCCCTACTTGTGCTCAGCAAGCTCATACAGTACCGGCTTGAAATAACCAAATCAATCAAATTGAGTTCAATTTAGTAAAAATAGATTACCAAAAAGTTAAAGATTTTAATTGTTTTGCATATGGCTGACCTTAAAACGGAGCGATCGGTTTGGTGCAAAATAGGCTGAACAAAAAACACGCGATTCGTTTGGTGCCTTGAACCAAGCAAAATGACCCCTTTTAAGGGTGTAATTTTAGGTCTGAATTTTGTCTAAAATAAAATACACCATTAAAATTCTTTTGAAATTTCAAGCTATTTTTGACGTCATCATTTTTTTCTAAAGTGATTTCAATTTGTGAAAAACGAGTTTAAAAATTTCAAAACTATCCAGATGTGTCCTGAAACTTTAAATTGTAAACGAATATTGTATGGGCCTGCTAATGGCAAACTGCAGTAGAAAACTCGGTAAACAGCAAAAAAAGCGTTAAAAAATGACCCCAAGTTAATAAAGAAAGGTATCCATATTTGGAAAATTATTTTGCCAATTGCGATTATAAATTCAATGACTTAAAACCCAGTGAAGTGAGAAATGATTCAAAAAACTTGTTTTAAAAACACCTCGTAGGTTGTCCCTTGTAAAAAGGGCGCAATTTGCTCACAGAGACAGAATAAATGCCAGAAAATAGTCCCAATATGTAATCTTTTATATCCGTCAGTAACTCTTCATTCATATCACAAAAGTTTAAAGATTCAATACATCAACTAAACCGATGAGTCGACCAAAAAATGTATCCTAGAAAATTTTGAGGTACAAAAAAGATACCCAGCGGAAAATCTAGGTTTTTCTCGAAGGGGGCGGACTTTCAAAAAAAAATTTTTTTGTTCGACCGAATTAATTTTTCGAGAACCCTCAAAGCTCTAAAAAGACCCTGTTTTCACCACATTTTCTGCGCCGCAAGCGAACTTTGAGAAAAAAAACAGGCCTTTGTGAAAATGTTGATCAAAAAATTACGTTTTTTTTTCGGCGCGCGCTCCCCCTCAAAACTAGAATATATTGGCACCTTAAGAAAACTTTAGGTCCTGTGGTGTAGAGGTCAAGGTATGTACGTATTATATGGTTATAATATTGTATTTTTATATTATGTAACGTCCTATGACCGTCGATCATTAAGTGGTTGTACAGTCAGTGGCTGGCGTAACCGTATTCAATTCAAACGGATTATTTTACGTTTTGCATCTTTACTGAAGTTTATGAAGTACTGCTCAGGCATGCTGGCACATGGCGCAGTCAAACACGGATTCGTCCAACCACGGGTTTGACGTCTTTTGGGCTGGCACATCACAAGAACCGCCAGTCTCGTGGGAGGAAAGGAGTCAAAGCTTCCCACTGATAGTCATCGCAAAAGAAGAGATCGACATCGAGGATTTGTTGCACGACAATGGATCGCTTGAAAACCCTTATCCGATACTGGAAGAGCCGGCTAGTACAGAGGATCAGCAGGAAAGAACAGATCGAGAGGCACAAAATGCGATGGCTATAACAGCTTGGCGGGAGGAAGAAAACCGGAGGGCGGAGGATGAGCGTCGAATATTCTAAAGATCGACCCAGTGAGACGCGGATAAACGGTTGAAATCAAAATTTATTTTGTCTTTGGTGAAACAGGGACAAAAAGATTTCAATCGGAAACATCCTTATTTTAAGATTGTGGATATGAATTTCATCCAACTGTGGAAAACGTCGACTGATACGTTTAAGAAAAAACTAAAGGTTACAAACAAAAAATTCATATTCTTCGGTCGAAAACAACGCTATAAAGAAGGTATGGAGCAATTCTTTGGGGCGTTGAGAGACCTTACCCGTGGCTGTGATTTCGGCGATCGAGAAGCATCGATTGTCCGAGACTTTTCATAGTTAATATGAAAAATGAAGAAGTCAAGAAACAGTTATGTATGGAAAAAATGAGCCCGGGTGAGACACTTACTTTTGCGGTTTCGAGGGAGAAGTGAACTCATGTATAAGAGAGTAAGTGGAGGAATACCACGATTTGGCAGAAACAAATTTGACGGTAATCGCTCAGACACGGTAAGGCCAAGTAATGCGGGCCAAGGGGGAAGTAAAGTTAAACGGGAAATGAGGTTAATAATTAAGGGCTAGACAAATGCCACAATTGCGGAAACGTGTTAAAACCCAACCATAGGGATTATTGCAAGGAAAGAACATCGTCTGCCATAGTTGCAGTGGCCGTAATTGTTCCAGTACAGTATCGTTTGTCTCACAGACGAAACTACAAGAGCTGAAGATTTGGGATCGATTTCTGAGTGTTAAAGCAGTACCGGAGGAGATCAAAAATATATTCTATAGTGCGACAGACAACGTCATTAGACTTATTGGGAGAGCTACCTCAATTGCAGACGCCGAAGGCAGCGGTGGATCCCAGGGTGACTCATACGGAGGATAATGGAGCGCAACAGGGGGAGAGATCCGGTGGCAATGGTGCATGGCGCAGCCGATTTTATCAACGTGAGCGGCGATTCAAGTGGCCCCTTTGCGACGGACGACCTGGACATTGCAGACTAACTGTCTGCGATTAGCATGACCGAAGATGACCATCGCCAACTTCTGGAAGAGCTCGAAAACTTGTTGCTTCGCGCAGGCCGGAAAAAAGTGGAGTAGATATAACCGAAGGTTATACGAGCCAAACTGTGAAACTGAAATAGTCTAGAGTTATTGTGAACAGATTGATTTATTATATATAAGATATTAATATTGACAGTGAATTGTTCCGAAGGGGGAATGTAGTGTAGAGGTCAAAGTATGTACGTATTATATGGTTATATTATGTAACGTCCTATGACCGTCAATGTCAACGTTATAGTGATCGTTAACTGGTCGTACAGTCAGTGGCTGGCGTAACCGTATTGAACTCAAGTTGATTCTTTTACGTTTTGCATCTTTACTGAAAATTATGAAGTACTGCTCAAGCATACGTGCAGTTCCGTCAGCCAAAAATTGATATCTGAAAATAATACAAACTGTGGCCCTTTGGATCGGCAGGGGGTCGTCCGCTATATTTATTTAAAAAAATAGGCAAATATATTTTAAGTATAACTCGAATTAAAAGGTTGACATGTTCGAAAATATTTGAGTTATCAAGCAAATGGGCATGCCATCATCACTGTGTCCATCCCTGCATATCTTTGTGACAGATTTGTAAGAAAATTTGTCTATGAGATAAAAAACCAAGTTCCAGTTTGCAGGGCACTTGATATTGCAAGTATAACTATATAAGATTGGCTAGTACATTTAAAGAATTTTATTACTAGTCGGCAGTGTAACTAGATGCAAAATAGTTTCCAGGTCGTTTTTGCACGAAATCAAGAGCTTGAAAAATAAAATAAACGAGTAAAAGGAAAAAAAAATCCAGTACACGATTACAAAACACTTCCTATCACAAAAATCAAAATTAAAAAAAAAATAAATTTATAGGAACCCTATAAATTTATTTTCACAGGAACCCGGCAAGCTGTTTTTAGAAACTGAAAAAAGGTTTATGAAACATATGTATTTTTTTAAAATTCATTTATTCAGGTTTCACGAAATGCTAACGGCGAGAAATTTTCAAGGGTTCAAAACTCTGTTTGTATTCCCTTGAGAAGCATCATTACTCATGCCGGTTTCCACTCGCGCTTACAACCATTCGTTATGTCATATATTCTTTTAATGGATTTCATTACCTGTCGGTATGTATGTTTGGGGGAACTCATTTGTTTTCAGTCTGTGCAGCAGTGAAGTTTTCCCACACGTTCCATCACCCACAATCACCACTTTGATAGTAATCTTGCCTCCCATCATTTTACAAAACAGACAACACAAAAATCTCACGCTTCAATTTCTTTATTATGAAGAAAAGAACTGAAAATAGAAATTAAATTTGTTTTCGCTATGAAGTCTTTGAAGTATTCTTGATGATGATTTTCTGTGATGTTTTCTAGATGTTGACAAACCGATATTATTATTCTTTAAAGCATGGCATCTCTATTTGGAGGTGCCAAGGCATGCGACAAAGCGCATTCAAATTAAAGCTACAACTTAGCGGGTATCAAGTTTAATTTACAAACAAGCAAAATTAAGTTTGTTTGCTGGTTGAGCTTGATGATCAGTCATCGAGTTTGAATTACCTTCAGTCTTTAGCTTCAAACAAAACTTCTTTTCAAAAACTAGAGTTCCATTTTTAAAGACAAGAAATGATGGAAATCTAATTCGATAGCAATGAAAGTTGATTGCTAGGGAGGGGGGTTGACAAATATTACATCCGCTCATGTTCGAACTAAATCAAAAGAAACATACAAAAAATATATCATCAAATTTATGCTAAAAATCAAAAATCCTACCATTACGTTTACTGATTATCGACTTAAAAAAACGACGTAATCAAAAATCTGTTACTTTCTGGAAAAAATAGGTATTTTTTTTAGAATCTGAAAGTATTCGCCCTTATTTGAGTAAAACAAATTTTTGAAAATAACTACTTTTATAACTCAATTTATTTCATTTTTGTTTTCTTATAGTTTTCAGCAAATTTTAATTTTATCTGTTCTCTATTCTAATTGCAGTCACTGTTATTATTTACTTCAAAAATAGCAAAGTTGCTTTACTCACCCGGGATGACCTCCATAGACCGAAAATGCTAATCATACAATTTCATACACTTAGTCTATGGAAAAACGCTAGTCATAGAATTTTCATACATTTTTGCAAAATGAGTTTAATCGAAATTCAAAGGTATTTTATTGTTGTTTTGGTATCGAAATTAGTATCTCTTCATAAAAAAAAAGGAAAAAAATCATATGAAAAAAATGCTTATCATACAATTTCCATATATGGAAACTGTATGATTAGCATTTTTTTTAAAAAAATTTTATGTAAAAAAAACGCTTTGAGCAATCAATTCGACTGCTGGCAAAGCATTTAAGCGTTTTTTTGGCTGCTACAACTGAAAACTTTGACTTTTTTTATTTTTGTTTTTTGAAAAAAAAACACTAGTCATACAATTTCCATATATGAAAGTTGCATGACTAGCGTTTTTTTAGAAAAAAAAAACAAATTTGAAAAAAAAAGTATCAAAAAAACGCCAGATCGTAGATAGGTAAATCAGCACATATGTATTTTTTAAAGCTCATTTATTTAGGTTTCATGAAATGCTAACGGCGAGAAATTTTCAAGGGTTCAAAACTCTGTTTTATTCCCTTGAGTAGCATCATTACTCATGCCGGTTTCCACTCTCGCGCTTACAATATGGAAATTGTATGACTAGCATTTTTGGTCATCCCGGGCAAAGTTATACTATCACATAAAAAACTCCTGGTGCAGAAAGTCGTCCATTGAGCCAAACTTTCCAGAATGGAGTTTTGGGACGAGCGATATCTCAATGGTTATACCGAGGGCAGGGGCGGATTTAGGGGGGGCAGACGCCCCCCCTCAGGGATACGACCCCCTGCCGACCCAAAGGGTCCCCCTTTGATACTTTCTAAGAAATCCATTTTTGGCCGACCGACACTAAAATTTTTCTAAAGGCGCCTTGGGCGCCAATATATACTAATTTTGAGGGGGGAGTGCGCGCCGAAAAAACGCAATTTTTCGGTCAAAAATTTCCAAAAAGAGCCTAAAAACGCCTTTTTTGGCCTGTTTTTGTCAAAGACAAAACCGTGCTTTGGGAGAGCTCGAAAAATCAATTTGGTCGACCTAAAGAAAAAAAAAGGTCGTCAAAATTTTCGAAATTTTTTTGAAAATCCGCCCCCCCTCGAGAAAATCCTAGATCCGCCCCTGACCGAGGGTGTGAGAGATAGCTCAGTGGGTAAGCGAGGTCACGTCCACTTGCGCTAAACTTTCCAATGGAAACAAAAAAATATATATATACCCATATTTTGAATGTCTGTTTTGAAAATCTATCGATATTTTAAATATATTAATAGAATGAATCGATCAAAAAACTAATAATTAGCCTTCTATTTCTGACTGACATAGAAAATATATAACTATTATATATTAAGATTTTAATGACCAACTTTAGGGATTTGACGAAAAACTAGTGCCTAAACTTGCGTGGTGACTCTGTTTCGTGGAATACATTTCTCAAAACTAAAAAAGAAAAGACATTGGAACCAGTTTGAAACTAGATATTTCAATTAAATCTTATTTCCTTGTAAAGTATTTATTACTAACCAAAAATGATCCATGACTTTCCAAAAATGATCCAACCTTCTCTAGACCTGTAAACCTGAAACCCTAGTGGTTCCGAGAAATAAAAATAAAGATTGAACCATTTGTTTTCTTCTCTCCTCTAACGCCGCAATAAACCAGGTTATCTCTGGATCTATTGAAACTAAGAAATTCAAGAGTAAGAATAAGATTGATATTAAAATAAAAAGTTGCACGAACCTATCCGACCGAAAATAGATAGTGTGGAAAGCTGACGGTGTACACTATCCAAAATTACTATATGAGAAGGCCACATCGGACTTAAGCTCACCTGGCTCGACCAACAAGTCTCGAGCAGACCTACAAATAACTTAGTTTTAGCATTCATAAAACAAATCAAGAGAAAAAAATGAAAAATCAGCTTATTCCTCGTCTGAAGAAGTCTATTAAAGCCGAGCCAAAAAAAAGACGAAATTCCATCATAAAGAAACAAAAATGAAATCTGCATCGCAAGAGGAAAATAAGCAGAAGCGACGAAAACGAAAAAAAGACAAAAATTGGCCACTAACTTTTGTGCAATAAAATTAAGCTATTATATTAACTGCATTAAATTGAGCCGAAACTTTATCATAATCGTCATGCAATAAAAACTCTTGAGGAAAAAGCGAATATTAAAACACAAAAAAAAATTTAGCCGTTCCAATGGCCGCAACAGTCAATATAGGAATAACTACACAAGACCAAACTCAAACAGAAGTAATTACTGTAACTACTATAAAATTCGATCATACTCAATCAAGCGCAAAAGAAACAGCTCAAATGATCGTTCTAGGAACTATTCACATAATCCCAATAGATATGATTCAAACAGTTTGTGTAGAATAAAACTCGTACATTAGCTATAAGAAGAGGGTTAAAAATTATAGAAGAAAAACATAAACCATAAAACTAGTCCTCAAAAATTTTCTCAAACTCACCACACCGAAAAAACAATTGCCCAAATGCAAATCCCATATTCTAAAACGACAGAAGTAACACCCCAAAACACCAACTGAAATTTGACCAATTACAGAACAACACTGAAACAACCACTGATCCACCAGGGATAAAATCAAAAGAAACGCCAAACCTACAATTAAATCCCAATAATTATCATAGCTCAGACGACGATTGCAATAACGAAAGATATTAATGATTAATATAATAAAAAATCTTAAAAGAACTTAAAATTCTTGTTCAATCTAATAATTATGAAATGATAAAACAGATCAAAACGCTTATTACCTCGAATAAAATCAAAATTTTGATACAAATATTAACCATACCCGACAACATCTCGCGAAATTACTACAAATTTATACAAAAATGTGAAGTGAATACCCAGGAAAATCAACAACCAAAACGAAGTTGCATAAAAAAGCAACCAATAGAAAACAATTGGATACTTCCACTTCTCTTAGAAAACCAGAAACACACAAAACTGTTTCTCAAGCTTCAGACTTGTAAAAAAAAATTTCAATTAATTCAGATTACTTTACAAAAACACCCATTTTAAACCCATTTTTCAATTTACAATTACACGCAAGAAACATAAATTTTTTTAAACTATAATAAGTTTTCGACACTTGCAAATAAACTAAAACGATTTAGAACAATTAGAAAATGTTTTGTTAAATTATTGAAATGCACATGCAATAGCAAAATTTGATGTCGGAAAAGTTCATTCCACGTTAAGTCTCCAACTAAAACGAGATGCAGTTGTCAAAAAACAACACTCTAGCAAAGTACCGGTATACTTATAAGATAAAGAAAATAGACTTTTAGATTTTCTGGAACAAAACGAAATAGTCTCTTCAGAAACAAAACATCAACAACCAAAAAATACCTTTTAAAAATCAACCAAACATATCACTTGAAATCATCTCACTTTCAACACCATTGCTATTATTAGCCGACAGAACTCTAACTTGAATTAGGACAAAACTCTAACTCAGAGACCTTCAGATCAAAAATATGCAATACACTTATATTTGACAACTTTAATAGAAATCATATCAAATTACAATCGCCTTCTATCAATCAAAACAAAAATCAACAATATTGAATTTAATTAGATCGCAAAAACCCCCAAGAGAAAAAGAACAAACTAGCCTGAAGTATAAAAAGTAAGGTGGATCAGCCTAACGACAACCTACCCGACTAAACCCCAAATCATCCTGTAAATGAAAACCAGAGTTAGCAACTTATACTTAAATCTCCAAACTTCCCGTCAACCAAGTTTCTCCATACCCAACCCATTTGTCGAAAACTAATAAACAATTCGACCTCACTCGATATAATTTTGAAAAGGAAATCACGTAAATTGGTAATTTTTTCAATTTTTTCCGGAATCCAGACTATTGCACATCAAGCACAACTTGAACACCACCAAGGTCATGTGCAACAAGACGTTAAATTTCCGTATCATGGCGCCCATGGACGTTAAACTAATGACTTACAAGATAAAATATGGATACCTCCTATTGGAATCAACCAACCGTCAAACTGTAGACGGACATAAAAAATTCAGGCTACCAAGAAATAATGTTTTTCGAATGGAAAGTTCAACTAGAAAGGTACAATTAACTCGATATTTAAAAGAGGATACAATATTACATCAAGGTTTTTGCTTTCCTTGTAAAAACTATTTAAAACATTGCGACCGCACCACTGGCTTCCGAAAAACAAAGAGGATGAAAAATCCTTCTTACCAGTCACATTATGAAAAACAAT